CTTGAATTTGAGATATTAGAATTAATAGTTCCACTGTAGCTTTTAGGTTTAAGATTTCATAAAAAAAAACATTTGCAAACCTATTGTTGATTACATTTGACATGAGGTAAAACGGCGAACCTAGAAAACAATCTGCATGAGACAAATATACTTTCTTGTCCCTTAAAAACATGAGACAAATGAGCTTTCTTGTACCTTAAAAAACTTAATCGGAGCACATTTGTCACACAAATGAGTTTTTTGGGGGTAGACATTTGAGGTCCCATTTGTCTCACGTAGAACAAATGCGACCGTATTGGTCTTACGTAAGACTATTGTGCTCCGAGAAAAATGTGCTCCTACAAAGCTATCATTTGATAACTAAGTATGATATAAATTCTATTTTTTACAATATCAAAACGTCATAGAGTCTATAAAGAGATTTTTATATTAAACGGTTTTTAGATACCTAGATCAGAAAGAGGAACCCCTGTTTAGCTTCATTAATTAAACTAATCAATTGTTAAAAGAAGGAATGCAGACACATTTATGATTATATTCTTAGAGCAAAAGGTCCACTTGTGCTTAGATGAACTCAACTTGAATAATGATTTTAACTGGAATTGCATTTATAGGCTACCCTTTCAATGGTTTCGATATAAAGTTATAAACAGGATACTGGCAATAAATCTTTCATTACATCAAACGATAAAAAATGTTAATACAAGTTCTTTCCGCAACAACCATATTGAAACTATAAAACAGTTTTTCGGTATTGCCATTTAAGTTCTTTCTGGGTAGATATAAAATCATATAAATTAAAAATGTACAGATGTCAACACACTTTGGAACACTTAAAATAATGAAACATTTAAATATTTTTTGTTATGAAAGTATACTCTAAATATCTGCAAATTACAAAACTCATTTTCAAGTGTTCTGCTTTAAAGAACACATGTACATGCAAACATGGGGTTTTACAGTTTGACAAGTTATTGTGACAAACATGTTTCCTAACTGCCTTATCAAGACTAATGTTTTAGGATTTTTTTCTACTCGATACTGCCCTCACAGTTTTTTTCGTTCTTTTTTCTTTCACACTTATTATGACCTATTTTGTTGTAATTTTTCTTTCATTATAAAATTAATGCATAAAATACTCATGACAAGAGGTACAACTCATAATTGAATATCTAAATTTTAATAATAGGAGTTGTTTCCCGTGAGATATCAAGCTGTAAAATTATCAGGGAATACAAGAAAAAATTTTAATTGTCTTTTTAAATTCAAACTGAAATCTTGGAACCTCATTGGCCATTCTAAAATAAAATGTAAAGTTTTTGCCATTTTAATACAACATTTAAAGGATAGTTCTTTATCAAAATGTTACGGATAGTTCTTGTCGTTATAAAAATAAAATGTAAAGGCAGTTCTGCAATAAAATTTACAGAATAGTTCTTAAACTTTTAAGTTAATTGCTTATATATTTATTCTGTAGATTATACTTCCTCCAACAAATCAGTTTACAATTCGCTTAGGACTCATTTACACAAAAACTTACTGAGTCATAAATTCGGTTCAAAATAGCAGTACCACAAATAACGTTCACGACCCTGTAAGTTCACTCATGGACATGAGAATATCTAAAAACACACCAAAATCCCCCAAACTTATTAGGTACCCCCAGTTTATAATGTTCAATAAGTGACCAATATGATCATCGTTGTTTTATTGATATAAAATTCATTTTCATATAGTGTCTTCATATTTAGACACAAAATATTTAAGGACATGTCCTTTAGAAAATTACTTTGACCTTTTATTAAATGACGTTGACCTTGAAGGTGTAATTATTTCATTTCTACTGTTTTTCTTGCTATCATTGGTGGTAAAACTTTGTTATTTTGTCACTAGTATATGAAACCATTTAATACCTGGACAAACACCATTATCAATGCAAAATATTGCAAGGATTGTTGTGTCGAAATATGAAGACAATTCATTCATAAATAACTAAGCTATAGCAGCTTTGGTACATTTTTGTAATTTTGCATTGATAATGGTGTGTTTATACAATAAAGTTTAAGTTAATAGCTGGTCGCAAACATTGACTATAACGAAAACGTTTAACATCGATAACTCGTGTCTCAATGACTGTAGATCTAACATTTCAGAAATATTTTGTGAATTATGTAAAACTAAAGATATTTCTTTCAACTTTTCTTTCAAAATTGTTTGTATTTAGAAATTTGTTAAAAATTATTGTAATCGTTCAATAGAAGAAGATCTTTTTAAACCGGTGACTGTCGAAGACCGGAGACATGAGAGGGTCGATTAGTAGATCACTCTTCAAATGCCGTGTAAAAACGATCGCAATCTGATGTTTTACAGTTTATGGCAGCTTTTTGATTTAAATGAAAGAAAACAATTATTTCTTTTAAGAAAATGATTAAACACCATTGCATGAATAATTTCGTGCCAAAAAAAAAACAAACAAAGTAAATACAAGTTTACGCAGAAAATATCTCTACGTATTATAGCAGATGTTTAAATTTTAGCTTGGACAGAAGAAGTTCCAGATTTTATAGATTTTCATTATTAACATTTTATGTGTGTAAAATTTGAGATAGATGTTAAAGGATCATATATAATTTTCAAACAATCAAGTTTTTCCACCATTAACTGTAAAATAATGATAGAAAAATAGAAATATCACGTAATTTTGTATGTGTAATTCCCGTAACGTACCGGACAACGGAGATTTGCTAGGTTTTCGGAAAGGTCAGTTTGGTTTACAAATCAATCCTGTGCTCATCCAGGGGCGTACCCCAGCTTATTATGAGTGTACGCCGAGTGCCGATTTTTGGCCGAAAGATCGCCAGAGGCTTATATATCAAATATAGATATCTGCTATAATTAAGGATTTAGGGTATATTTAAGCTAATTGTACTACTATTGTTCTTATCTATAGTTATGAAAATAACATCAAGTACATATATTGAATGTAAGAGAAGAAGTACGAAGTCTAACGTGTACACTGTTTTAAATAGTTCAAAAGTTATTTGCTTTTAGAAAAACAAAACATAGCCAGGTGTATCTCTTGTAAAAAGGATGGGTTTTATTTCCTTTTGTAACAAGTTTAGATTTTTCTTTGTTTTTTGTCTTTTGTTCTGCGATAAATAAACGTGAGATAAAATCAAGGAAAATATGCTTTAAAAAAGATCTGTATGACTTTAATACAAACACAACAGCTTAAATGTTAAGTGTTACAAAAGGTTATCTTATTCACAGCTAAAATGTAGTATCGCATGATCATTTAGTTTCCTTAAAATATTTTTATGCGTATCATACCAGTGTTGTAAACAATAAATATTGTCTTTAACCTATTTCGTTCTCAACTCTAGTCTTTCAATTTCCATTCGAAATATTTAAGTTATTTCATTATGAAGTTAAATGCCTCACGCACATAAAGCATGTTGGTATAAACAGACTCTAAAGTCGGCGAAAATAAAAGAATTAAGACATAATGTCTCTTATACGGTTATACATTGTTCTCGCGGTATATTTTTCTATGTTTTAAATATGTATAGGTGACACTAAGTATAATAAAAAATGTTTATATATATAGTGTTCTGATATATTATGTAAAAACTGGTATTCTTTTTTACGGTCAAATAAACAAAAGTTGAATTTGGTTTGTGACGACGGATGTTGGCAATAGTTCACCGCAAAGATCTGATTCACAGTGTCAAAACTATTCTACATAATTTGAAATGAATATAAGTTGAATGAATATTACTTTTTTTTAAAAATAATACACTGATTTATAGGTACAAGGTAAAATATAAAAAGACATCCCATACAGCTAACTCACTCCTTTCCATTGTGCTGCAATGTTGCAAACAAGATTTTTATTTTGCATATAGATCTAGATGTAAAAAATGCAATAAATGTTTACTTTTCACTGATTTGATTCTTCTTGGGAAAAAAAAGATTAGTATATTGGAGAATTTCTTATCCTTTTTAGATTTTAACGAGGTTTATTAGCATTATAACGCTGAAAAAAAAGAGAAAATCCAAAGAAATTGTTTATATCATATTTTTACTCCCTTTCTTCATAATTGAAGTTTTGATTGTGCATAAAAAGGTAACACATATTCGAATAAGGTAACATCCTAAGCATACCTGAAGAATTAATTAGTAGCAACGAATATGTTTATGATCTACGCCCAAGTTATTGATTTCATTTTTTTTAATTTTTATTTTTTTCGAAACCTTTTATTTTCATACGCCCGTGCGTATTGGCGTATTGGTAGGTCACGTGCTCCTCCATGCCTAAAAATTAATCGCGTACCAATACCCTGCGGGCTCAGGGAATTATGTTAAGTATATGAACTAGTGAAATATTTTTATAAAATTTAGAAGAAGTAAGTTCATTTTGTTTCCATAATCTTGTTAGCGTTATGAAAAAAAATGTTATGTTTGTTACTACACATATTTTTCGCATTTAAAGGAATTTTATTTGTTTTTTGTTTGTTTTTTTTTTTGCTGTTTTCATTTGACTTGAATGGTAAAGTTGTATTTTTGTGTGATTTGTTCACTTCATACAATATATTATATCTTGTGCTACATATACAAGTTACCAACACATCTTATTCGGTCTTTAACTGTTTACTTATAGAAATAGATATTGTATGGATCATCGAGTTGATAAGAACATTGTCTTTCTAAACATCATGAAAAGGGTGATGGTCATACTTTAATTGTATTCAACAAGTTTAATATTCTTAGTAAAAAGCAAAGGATTTCATTATCTGTTATCCCATATTCGTAAAAGAATTGTTTAGAAAATCAATTTTACACTGGCACGCTTAATGTTCGCGTTTACAGTCTGACACTTGCATAAAGTGTGTCAGTCTATATGCTATGTTTGCACAACGCAAATGACGTCACATAAAAATAATTCTAAAACTGATTTGGGTGCAAATAATTATAGAATAGAATTATTTTATACTTTTATCTATATCATTAAGCAAATACTTTCTTCAATTTTACTACAATGTCCTTTATATCAAAATGATCAGGTTTAAAACTTTGTATACAAAATTTAATGTGCATATTCAATATACATAATATAGATCTGCATTCACATACACAAATGTTTTTAACGCTTTTTAATAATAACTTGTAACAAATATCATTTTCAGTCTGTACATTTCTCAGCAATGCCAGAAGCTAATGTTCTATTTACCTCAATAGCACGTTCAACGACGCTATTTAGTGTGTCCTGTAGAAATTGTTTTCCAAGCCTGTACGTTTTGATATGATTCCGAATGGGTAAAAATGGAAATATTTTTTCAAACTCATCTACATAAGACTGTTCCCTTTTCTTGTCTTCTTCTGTGTTCTTGTTTTTGAAAAGTTCAGCAAGTTGGTCATCTTCTATGTTTGAAACTTGAGCATCATGTCTCAATGATTCTTCATCAAGACTGAATTGAGTTAAATAGAATTCCTTCTCGTTCTTTAGAATGGCAATATCGGCATCGTTTACACGAGGTGCAAACGCAGCACGAGTAGCAATTTTCCAAATCCTTCCTTCAAGAACTGTTTTCTTCTCGTTTATTGCCTGCTCTGTCACAGCCTGAAGTGTAAGTATCATTGCCTCCCTTTTAACCGTATCATTTTTCAGCATTTCTTCAAGACCTGGAAAGTCAAATTGTCCTCGTTCAAAACTGTCGATGATGAAAAGATTCTTTTTACAATTCACCGTTTTTAGGTTGACCTCTATATCATCCCGAATAGTTTGTTTTACTAGTATCTTTTCTTCAGAAGTAAGATTCCTGTTCCGCTTCCTTTCTTCGTTTTTCAGATCGGAGCCAAACTTTGTGCGAACGAAATAGAACTTCTTTTTAATTTTTTCAATTTCTTTTGCCAACCAAATATCATTTTCTGAAAACCTTTTTTCCGATACAATAATGAGAAAATCAAACATTTGAAAATCTATTTCCTGTTTATATGTTTCTTTAGGGAAAAGATTGGTGCCTACTCCTGGAAGATCAATAAGCACTAATTTTGGATTTAAAGGATGCTTATAAGGAGTGATTTCTGTTGTAGTTTCAATCGTTCCAGTGGGAGCTGCTCCAGGCGAATCACCGTCTAACCCTCTTATTGCGTTAATGAAAGTAGACTTTCCAGCTCCAGCTTTTCCCGCCAATGCAATGTTGATATCGGTATTTCTCCATGCATCAAGATTATCAGTAATTGCATCAGTTAGTCCTTTTATTCCATTCCTCGTATATGTATCAGCGAACGAAACTATACTCTTACTTGTGAGTTCTTTCAAACTTGTTCCCGAACCTTGAGCCATTATCTAAAAATGCAAAACATTTACACTAGCATTTGGCAATATCAAGTTCATTTGTTTGTTCTAATTGTTTAGTTGGTTCTTCGAAAATCACAAAAAAATCAAATAATATAAAAGCTTTAATTATCATGATGATATCATTTTTTAATTTGACTTTTGATTTGATACGATATAAATGCCACTATAGATCTATATATGTTTTGAATTGACAGCTGAATCCTATACTTTAATAAATCAATCAAAATGTACTTACGAATTGCCTTTAAAAGAATATTTTGTCCTTTTTGGGTTTTAAATACGACACTAACAAGTAAACAATTGATATGTATATACATTATGTGACATGATAACGATAAATTTTAAGCGGCTCGTTCATTCTATTGTTCGGCTGTATTCTGATTGTACATAATTTGTTTCTGGTTCGGTAGATGTATGGGTTGTTCACAATTCTTTTCCCGGTATTACCAGACAGCTTAACTTAAATATTTGTTGAAGAAGGAGCTTTTAAAGTAAAAAAAAATGTGGAAGCACGCGCACTCGTGTAATATATTTTGAATGTGGTTCAGTTGAATACTACTTTCACCCTTTCATTGACATTCTTTTAGATATTTTGTAAATTATATAAAACAACTGACATTACGTCAGAGAAGTGATCGCTCCGCCCACTGATTCATGTGAACCAGTCAGTAAAGAACCTTAGACAAAATACGGTAACAATTAATTCACAAAACTGTTATGGCACTAATGTTAGTAATGAATTTACCTGATATATTTTTGTACATGTATATATAAACTTTTAATGCTTTTAATGGATTCTTTTTTAATGCATTATGTTATAGCCAAGATATATGTTTGTACTTATTATATCCATTTGTAGAAAAACTATTGACTTTTGTAGTATAAACTAACTAACTCGATCTTAGCGTGGAACTGATAACGATCGCTGATTGGTTTATCTCTGTGACCCCGATCAGTTTGATTGACAGGCGGCGTAATGTCAATTGTATTTAGTTATATAAAGTATTTTACTTTTCAATAATCTGATGAATGTCCAAATTTTGTCTCTTTCAATTAAAGGCCCATTTTGCCTCATTAATTTTATTCCTCAAAAGTTTTCTAAATTTGGCGTACTTTTATATGAGTAGTACACAAAAAAATACTAATTTGTCAGTTACCAGAACCATCTTTTTCATCTGTTGCAATATGGAAATAAGAACAGTTATAATGATTTAATATTTTTCAAATCAAAATACTTCTTCACTTACATTTTGCTTCGTTATTACATATAATTTCAAATTAAGCTCTCCTTTATCCAAGTAATAAGCATCAAACATTCTCTTATACCATTGTTTAAACATAATAAAATTCGTGTATGTCATTTCTAAAGATGTTAAAATCTATTTGTTTCTATGGCATATTGTTCCTTTAAAAATCGACTGAAAAAATATGACTTGTAACATAATTAAATCCTTTAGACTAAAAAACGACATTTAATTTTGCAATATTAAAGAAAAACATGTTTGTTTGGAAATTAAGCATGACAATAAATAAAGCACAAAATTGGCAAAAATGAACATTTTTATCTTATCTTTCTATAATGTTTGGCTATTACTTAACACTGCATAACAATTCAAACTGCTAAGTACATGTATATTTTAAACGGCGCGACGGTTACGTCGCAACACTGCTCGTTATCATTTAAAGCATTTATGGGACTCGGTTTGATCTACAATGGGTACATGTTATAAGTATTTCAAATTTTGATCAAAACAATATTTATGTCGATATTCTTAAAAATATTACTTTAATAAACATAACTGACTTACTTCTAGAGCATTCAATATCTGCTACGTAAGTCTTGTGTGTAACTTTTGGTCATATATCTCACACTTGCCAAAAACATACATATACTTTAAATTTGTGGTTTGTTATTATGTTTAGACTAAATCCTAACAACGTTATTGTCTATTATAGACCAATTAACTTAAACATTGAGAGTATACCTCAGAGCTGAAATCGTCGTTTAAGAAAATTCATGATATTAAGGTCCAAGTTCTTTGCAGTTCTTTGCAAAAACGGTGTTCTTTTGTGTTATTTATTCAGCCAAAATCTGCTCTAAGTATTTTTTGTGATGCTTTCAAGTGAAGGTAGATATTAGTGTTATTCTTACAGATTTTGACATTATGCGACATCATATATATTGTGGATTGTTTTCTTCAACATGATGTTTTAATTGTTCCACGCTTAATAAGGAAATAAACTTTTGTATTTTCTTTATTATCTTCCCACAATCATTTTACTAATTTATCAATAAATTAATTCATTTGTTTGCTTGAATGATTGTCTGAAAGACATCTCGCGATCGTTCACTGTCCAGATTCAATTGATTCCTAGCTGATTATTTTGGACATTTTATTTACATTGTTTTCCTTAATGAACTGCGTAACAGTTGTAATATTTATACATATTTATAGGTTACGATTCACAGGTAATAACCTTGAAAATAATACATCTATCCAAGCATGTAATTTTCAAAAGGCTGTATCTTTAAGATCAATAGAAACAAAATCTGTGTAAAAGACATGGACTCATTTGAAATGACTTTTGTATTTTTGTGAACAAACTACTTAATATTACATTAATCGTATGTGTTACTGATTTCAAAAAAAAGACCGCATTATATAAATGTTTAAAGGGACATTACAGTACGCTCAGCGCGACTTTTTCAAAACCCGCGTGACCCCGCGGATGAGGTTTACCGCGGACGAAAATTTGCTCAGATATTGTCCGCGTGACCCCGCGGACAGAAAATTTTCACCACCGCGGACATAAATTGGCGGCTGAAACCGTTTCCCCCGCGGAACGCAGCGGTAAATTGCGGAGGAACGCGGCGGTCAAACACCGGTCAACGCGGTGGAAACCTTAAATTTTAAAAATTAATTACTGTATTTAAACATCAGTATACGTACGTACTGTAACATGCACTGTACATATAACTATATGTAAAATTTGTTTGTTTGTTTTCTTTTTTGTTGTAATAAAAGTACATGTACAAATGCAGTGTATTTCTTCTTCTTGTTATTGTGTTGGGTAATGTATAATATGTATTCGACATCAAGATAAATCATTGTCGTCGCAACTTCATGGTAGTGAGAAACTTGAAGTCAAATAATGAAAAATGCGGCATATGACATTTATGAAAAAGATACTACAACAATTTATATGCCAGCTTTTGTTTCTTATTTAAAAACTTTGAAAACGTAACCCTCAACAATTTATTCAGGCAATATTCCAGGACGTCTCTTTCAATTGTCAGATGCGTTTTACTGTTTCTGTTTATTTGCATGTTGATCATAAAGTCTTATATTTTATTTGGAACATTAAAAGAAAGCGTTTACCAAAATATACATTAAATGGTATTCTTGATTTATCTAACTACATGTGTGAGCGTAATGTATATGTTTTGAAGTTTGTATCATCTGTTGAAGTTTATTTTCATTTTTGTTTTAGTAGTTTGTTTGTTTGTCTTTTTTATTTTTTATAGATTTTTTTTTGCAGAATTTTGTTAAACTTGACGTTATACTTTTTGTTATTTTATTATGAACAGCATGTACATACATGTATATAAGGCAAACAAGCACATGGCAGTTATTTTCTAAGAACTTCCATCGACCGATTTTCAAGTTAAACATATTTCATTTTATTTTTATCTTAAGATATTATTGTTCATGGGAATAATAGTATTTGTAGACAACATGTAGTTTTAAGTACATACAATTGAACGTAATTGTCTTTGCTTTCTTGTATTTATTATATTAAGTTTTCATTGAAATTAATTCCGAGGATAATAATGTAATTTTATAATTTGTAAAAGGCAGCCTAATTATTATTTTTTTAATGGGTGAATTTGTGTCAAACAAATATAAGGTATGTACAGTATATAAAAACTTTTTGGCAAGTGTCATGCATATTTCTCATGTCCATTTTCGACGGGGTTTTTACTGTAAAAAAACACAAACAAACAACTCTACCCGTTTTTAAAGAATATAATTGCATACAAATAAAATCTTATAGATGGTTTAAATATCTTTTTCTTTTATTTCTAAGATATGTACATGTAATTTATTTATGTCTTGTCTTGTATTCACACTCATCGACCTCTTACAGGACATGTACTGTAGCAACAGTCATCATTGAGAAATCAGCACAAATGTCCTTTTTTATACTAAGTATCATATTTATGGCTCCCATATAGTTTAACAGCAATAATACTTTGAGAACTACAAGGAATGAAAAAGTAAAGATGACAGTGATAAAAGACGATTTCAGTTGTAAAAATATTGGTATGTGGACGAATAGTTTTGTGGACGTTTATAACAAAAATATTAAAAACAACAACAAAAACAGGTACAGCTGTAATTATTCCGTTCAAAAAATTTAACGTATATAAACATTTAAGGAGACGATTGTGGTCAATTTTCAAGTCATTGTGTAAAAAAGATGACGTTTAAAAATAATAAAACGTCTATTATTTTTGGAGGTTAATTTATACTGACCAACTGACCTTGGCGTTCCCCCGCGGGAAACGGGTGACTGATTTTATCGACGAATGAAGAACGGTCGTCAGAATTTTGTCCGCGGTGGAAACAACTGAACACCGGGGATCGCGGGGGAAATTAGGCTTTCATCGCGGACGAACCCCCGCGTTTGTCCGCGATAAAAAAAAATCGTCCGCGGTGGTATCGAGGAAAAAGCAAAACCCGCGGTGAGCGTACTGTATGATCATTAAAGTGTTAATGTTGTGTGTAAACATAAAAGTAAAAACAATCATACATTTTGCCATAATTTCATTTTATTTTATTTCATACGTATATAATATGTAAAATGTAATCAAATACAAATTGCAAAATATGTACATATTGTTTTTTTCCAGATAAATCAGAGTGTGACATAAATCATATCAAGTTTAACAGAAACATTCTAAAGAGACATATCTTCTACTTATGTCAACATTAATGGATTTTAATGTTGAAGTGTTACATTATGCTAAATCAAGCAACATATGAAACAAGTCAAAATAAGTTTATATTTTGCCATTATTCCTTTCAAATTTATAACCGATAGATACCTCACATGAGGCAAGGAATTTTCTACAAAAACCCATTCACTTCATAAAAAGTAAGTCAGTCTTATTATATTGTAGATCTATGCTTATTTATAATTCATCCTTATCAACTGTTGGTCAATCTCCATCATGATTGTCAATCTTTTGAAATATATTGTTCATTCAGCTCAACTTTAAAATGAAAAAAATGAGTATAGTATCATAAAGATGGCATCAACTAGAACAAGTAATGGGGTCTGTGCTCTTTAGTCTGTATTACATTTCTCGGCAAAATCAATTGGTATGTTCTGAAAAATGTTACAGGCAAATTGTTGATATCTCAATATCATTTTATATAATATGCCCGATATAATTTCGCCAAAAAGGATGTTGTTAAACGGTATTCCTAAAAAACTGTAATCTTCCTTAAATAACGTATGAAATTTGTCTACCACTTGTTCAGAACTTTCCATCATTTTTTCCCCAATCATTTCAAGCTCCTGTAATTTGCAGTCAGTGCCCAGCTGAGACAATTTAAACAGATTTCGATCCATCTTTAACGTTTCATCGTCAATGCCGAACACCTTCTTATACAATTCGCTCTCATATCGTAGGGTCTGTTTTGCCAGATCATCGGATGTTTCTTTTTCGTACTTAAATACGATTTTGAAATAAACAAATACCAATCTTTCTATGAGATACTTGGCTTTTTCACCTATTATCTCTTCTGTGGCAGAGGTAAGACTTAACGCCAAAAGCTTTGCTTTCATACCTTTTAATTCTTGGAAAAGGGTTTTGATTAGATCACCAAAGTCGTATTTCTCACATTCGAAGCTGTCGATAAGGTAAATGTCAACTGGGGCAACATCCTTGAGATTTTCTGCGCAGTCTCTTCTGATACCGTCAATTACCGCCTGCCTATTATGAGTTTTTGGTTTTGATTTAGAGTCGTTTTCAATATCTTCATCAAGATGTGTACGAACAAAGCAAAACTTTTTGTTACATTTCTTGATTTCTTTGGAAAGCCAGATGTCATTTTCGGTGAATCTGTTCCTAGCGATGAGAATGAAATAATCATATGTCTGTAATTTGACCTTATCATCATAATTTTTCTTTGGGAAATTCGGAGTTCCCACTCCAGGCAAATCCCAGAAAACAACACTCTTCATTTTGCCGTAGTATGGTTTGATTTCCATTGTCGTTTCTACAATACCCGAAGCAGCTGCATTTTCGTCCATATGGTCAATACCAAGAACCGCGTTAATGAAGGTGGATTTTCCGGTTCCCGGATTTCCAACGACTGCAACGTTTACTTTGGTATTCGTCCATGCTTCTAGATTATTGGTCAGCTCTTCTTGTAAGCCTTTTGGTCCCTTTGTTCTCATTACCTCTTTGTATTTGTTTACGATATCTCTCATTTCAGATTTTTCGCTTTTTTCTGTGTCGCTCATTCTAAAAAGAAATAATATTGCACAGAAAAATATTTATATTTTGGTACATAAAATAGGCTTTGTTAAACAACGTATCAACACAGAGTACAGTTCGTAAATGCTTGTTTGTCCACACAAACCGTAAAGTATAATTTTTCATATACCAACGAATAATTACTAGTACTTTTTTCTGATAAACATTTGTGATTATATATTAACTTCTGATCATTGTTTTTCTTTTTTTAACATTATGCTCTAATGTTTAAAGAATTGACAACTTTTATTATTATTATTATTATTATTATTATTATTATTATTATTATTATTATTATTATTATTATTATTTGCACAAAGAAATAGCAAACTATTTTACAATAAAACAATAAAACATTATTTAATTAACACATGAAAGATAATAATTTATATTGTACTTACGTGACGATGAGAGTCGATAATCACAACGGTTCACTTCAACTTGTTGAATGACATTGCATTATAATTGTAAACAGCGTTTTGTCCTTTCTTTATACGGAAGCTTGGATTGGACAATTTTTATTTTGTTATTTCGCTTTATAGTGATACCAAGCTTAAATCATGTTGCACATGTATTTTTATGCGTATAATGCCCGTTTGAGATTTTTTATTTTCCAACTTATGTCACGAATGTCTATTTACGTTACATATTCATACGCACATTTGTTATATTTGCTCGTATTTTTATTTACGCCCCAAAGAGATGGTTTAAAATACAAGTAGTGATGTCATATTAGTCCCATAGTTTTTTTTAATATTTATATTGTTTTAATATAGACACAATATACAATTACGTTACTTTTCAAACAGAATTACCAAATATACATATAATAAAAGGGTTGAACAACATTATCGTTGGCCCTTCCTTGGGATTAGTGAAGATTAAGCTTGAATGATCAAATCTCTTATGAGTTCAGCTGTAAAGAAATACTATGCTGACATTTGATATTAGAAATTTTAGAATTTTACATACTATAGGTGGTCACAATATGAAAATTTAGTGTCATTTAAAAACTGGTATTTTTCAAACGGAAGACCAACTTTACTTGACCTGTAATAGGGTTAGATTTTATAAAAGTCTGTACTTTTGTTAAAGAAAATTTCATTTTCGAATTCAGAACTATCTTCTGTAACAAATAGATTCGTACACTTAAGTGAATTTTCGCTCTTCTGACAATTAAAGCGCAGTCATGTTGTTTTTTTAACAATATGGGTTGTCATGTAGAGGAAAATAATTGCTTTTAATAACTTATTTTTGAATATGTCTTCTACTTGTATAGATACTGATCTTGTCAATCCTGTAACGACTCGAGCACCTTCGTTTGAATGTTTCTTTATCCTATTGTGCGCGTTATCCTAGACTAAGGAAGTTAAGTTACTTTAGTTACTGTCGATAAATCCTTGTTAAATGTCCTTTCATATAACTTGTGTTTTGGACAGATACAGAAAGATAACTGTCGTTTGCGTGCGAATAATCTAGTAATACATGTGTTTTTGAGTGAATATGCTACGCCATTGACATAAATTAAGTACTGAGCCTTAAAAAAACTTCCTTCTTAAGTTGATTCAGTAAAAAATGTCGAAGGGATTTAATGTATTTGTGTTAAGTAGTATTTTAACTCTGTATTTATTCACCCTTATATGCCATACTGCCAAACTTTATTGAATGCTCTAAATCAAAATAATACAAGATTTGCCAAATGTTTTGCAGATTTGGTTAAATATTTTTTATCAATTAGTTTCTACTCTATAGAAAAACTTGGCACAACCTACGATGTCCTATTTTGTCCACAAATTTTTGCTAATAAACACGCGATAATAATTATCGCCTCTATTTGCAAAATTTAGTACTAAATTTCGCATGTCTTAAATTTCTCTTAAGCGATAATTATCGCCTTTTCTAGTTTCATTTTATTTCTCATTTAATGGAAAACTACCAGGAACAAAGACCTTATTAAAAGTTTATTCAAAAGTTTTACCTTACTCCATAGCTGACGTTCTATTATTACGTTCCATTATGTAACTTCGTTGCCATGAAAATTTTAAGCATTCAAGCATTCAAGTAGTAAATATTTACCAAAAACGTTATTATACAAACATCGTGATTTATTTTCGCGGCTATAAGGATATCATAAAATAAAGCTCATCTTGTTGGCTTTGTTTTTAATTTGCATTTAACATTATTTTATAATGTATGACACGAATTTTGAAGATGTTCATGCGAACAAACGATAATATGTTGAGAAATAGTAAGAGCCAAAATAATGTCAAATGCCATACAAACTTGCGACTTCATCAAAAAGGACAAGAAACAACATAAACATGATAAAACATATAAATTGTACGAAATTGTGATTGAGGTAAAGAAATATGGTGCAAATGGCAATTAAAATTTTTAAGAGATTAGAGTACTGAGAAAAAGAACATTCTCGTTTATACCCAACGTTTATTCTTCTAAAAAAGAAACCGTCTTAGCTATATTATGGGATATACGAAAGAAGCATATGTATATAGCTTTAGTAACAAAAATCTATTTTTATTTCTTTTCTGACGCTTACTTTCCTCATTGCACATAAATATTGCTTACATGATTTGTTTACATTTACATGCTAATTGTTGCTGGATTTTCTTTGAATGAATGTTTGCTTGTCTGTCTGTAGATATTAACTTTTTAATTAATTAAATGAACAAAAGAAAAAAGACAACACATTTTGCAAAGTGGCTGTTGTCTTTTGTTTCTTAATTCTTGCTGCTGCTGCTGCTGTTGTTATTGTTATTGTTGTTGTTGTTGTTACTTTTTATATGTGTCTGTATGTCGTGAATCAATCTGCAGCACTATTCTGATTTTTATCTAAACAATCTTAACAACAATCTGAATTTGTCTCGTCTCGGTACACAATTATCATTTTTATAATTACAAATTTATGACATATTTTGAGAAAAAATATTGCACGAAAAGAATATACAATGTATTGTATATTCAGATAAATATTCCATTGAACGAGATATTTGTTTGCTGTAAAAATAAAAAGACTACGGTACTCCATTCCAAAGATTGGTTGTAATTGTTCCTTGATATATTCCATAACATTTTCCACAACTGGCGTGAGTTTATAAATCGTAACTATGTTGTAAATTGATTGTTTTGGTCTTTTGTGTATATATATGATGCGATAAACTGTCGACTTAAATACTTCAAAACATTTGTTAACTGGTAAAGAGACTTTACGCAATGTAATGCCCATATTCGTAAAGCCAAATATTGTTTTTTGTTGACACTACTCGATACAGATAGATTGATTCAATAGCTCTTTTTTTGGTAACCACCTATCTACATCTCGAGCAGTTTCAACTCAAAGGTAATCCAAAAAAAACAACATTATATTGTGTTTGACATTTCCAGAGTCGTTAAATGCACCTATTTTCCGTAGGATGGTTAAAATGAAAGACTACATATAGTTCTTCTGAACATACTTACAAACTAGGCATCTCAACTGAGATTTAGGAAATTTAGGATTTTTCGAAATTTGGCTAGCTAAGAGTGTTGGTAACCAAACATTGTTCTTGTCGAAGCTAAAACAAAGAATTTCAGATGTTTTCCAAGTCGAGCAAGATTTTAGAGTATTTGCAACATTTGAATATAGCTATTATCTGAAAAATCTCGATATAACGAAATACTTTTCAGCTTTAACCAATTAAGATTGTCAGCTCACCATTTAAGTGTTGAAACAGGTAGATGGAGTAGCATTTGCTTATTAATAAACGACAGATTATAGTGCGTATGTCAAAAATTAGAAGTTGTTTGAATTCAAATTGTGTGATTCTATAAGAAAACGATGTATCAATCAACATTACGTAATAACCCCCAATATGTAAAAATCTGCAGAACAGTTTAACTCTCATTTATTAAAATTGTAAGAAATTTAACTATGTTTATCTATAAAGCCTTCAAATTTCGAAAAGGATCTTCAATACAATCTTAGAGAGTAATAAATAAATATATACCGTAAGACTCAAAAGTTCCTTTGTAGATTTTAATATGTTCCTCTATACTTATACAATTATTTTCCTATCTTTATTTGTTTGATACCATTTAAATGTATCATGTTCACTTTTGTCTCTATTTTCCAACCTATCATTACAATTCCCATTTTGTTCATTTTACGCTCTTTTTTTAATTGTTAGAATTGTAAATTCGTGTTAAATTTTATCATAGCAAAAACTAAAGATAAACAAATCCTGATGATTGTTTACACAACAACCGGCATGGTTACTTCCCTTGAATGCGTCATACATGATAGTAATAATCGTTAGATATACTATGCTGAAATTTGATATTTGAAATGTTGTAAATTGATACACAGTCTCTTTGTATGTTTGAAATAAACATGTTTGTCTACACATAAAGTAGATATTTTGTGTTTTAAACTCGACACACTCTAGGTGGACACAATATGAATATATAGTGTCATAAAAAATTAACAATAAACAACTGCCAGTTTATTCAAACAAAGGACCTCTTTCAATCGTTAAAGGGAATGCAGCTTCAAATGCATAACTTGTACATCATGGATATTCAGTCAGAACTGCATAGAATTACTAAGTTGCGATTCAAATTTTTACTCACAGATGAGCATAGTATATCTTTAAATAACGTCATTATTAGTTATAAACCTCGCTCTTAATACTGATGCGTCTAGATTACATTGAGAAACATGTGTTTTTCGAGAAGCAGCACGCTCCACCTTCTTCAAAGCAGGTTAGTATGATAAATAAGTAAATAATAGGGCATAACTACGAAAAAGTGATGGGGGAATCAATGATATGATGAAGATCTCCTTTTTTAATGAACAAGTGTATAAAATTTGAAGAAATTAAACAGATTTAATAATCTATTAAAAAAATAAACTTACCTTGACCTTTGGACTTTTGACTTGAAAATGAGTGTGACAAGCACATTTCATACAGGTGCATCTATATTTCTTAGGTAAGTGCACTTTGATAGCGTTTTTTATGTTTTGTTTTGTTGTACAGGTCCCAATGACCGTGTCCTTTGACCTTTTAACCAGAAAATATGAACTATAGGTAGAAACTCCCTAATGTGCATCTTCTTAAAAAATTGTAGTTACTTATCAAGGGGCATCTTCATACAAAGTAATTAGACCCTGTGTCAATGCACTATGTAGGTAGTAATGATAAGAGTAAATCCATATATAAAGTTTTTTTTTTTAAAAAATTCCATTATCAGCATTGAAGTTATTGACCATACACGAAAAGTAAGGGGGAAAATGTAAATAAAAAAGAAGAACCAACGCCGACGCATTTACCAATGATTAATTTGTCAGGAAATTTACTTTGCTCTTTCCCTGAAAAGTGAAGCTAAGAATAAATATGAATATTTTTAAATGCAAATCATCTACATGACTCTAAAAAGGTACATAGAAAATATCGTTAAATATCGTTCAGCAGCATAAAGTGCCTACGTTTCTGGTCTAGAATGCAGTATAATCACATTCAATGAACATTACAAGCATAAATGATATGAACAGAAAGCCTGCGAAGGAGCCTATCGAATTTAATCAGATGTGGCGTACACATTGTTTCACACGCAATGTTTTATTTCAAAGCGACACGAATCAATTGAACCTCGCCCAATACTCAACGACAAGAGCGGTTATCTTTAGACGAATATTACCAGTTTATCTTATTATAAGTTAGCAAATGTTTAACAAAGACATTTACAATGAATAGAACACCACTTTTTTTCAGAAATCAGATTTAAATTAAATACAGAACAAAACTTGAAAACTATATTTAGATATCAACTATGAAAATAAAAACTGTTCCAAAAGATTTGTTTCGGTTTCTGTTCGTCATTAGTAAAGATTAAACGTGTTTTTTTTTCAAAGTTCCGAGGGCAAATAGGTATAGGATTAGGATTTTATAATTTTTGTTCCTTTAAATGAGAATGATTTTAGAGAGTATTGAAGTTACATAACATTGGATGAAAATAGATCTAGAAAGTGTTGACGATAATTTGCTTTATTTGCTGCTCAAATTTATCAAGTTAAAAAATCTCTGAGGATAACCGGCTCGTTGTTGCAGCATTAGATTTCGGAACAACGTATTCTAGCTGGGCCTTTTCTTTAAAACATGAATACCAAAGGGATCCGATAAAGATAACTGCAAAACAATGGTACGGATACAAAAGCAAGTATTCGCATTTCCAAAAAGGATAGGAATCACCATACAGCCGGGTATCTATTTTGTTACCTGAACAAAAGAGTTTATGTTTCATCTTCTGAATTATGTTTACCCCATAGGAGCCTGAACACTGGTTTCGAGCTGCATTGATAGCATTTCAAGCATATTTTGATGTTTTTCTTAGCCCAATTTTAGATATATTATGCTTCGTATTTGGAAATTACTAAAATTACCCTTTTGGAGATATAAAATCTACATGTTTTGACTTCACACAAAGTAAATATGGTATATTTTAAACTATACACACAAAAAGAGGCCACAATATGTCATTAAAAATATTAAAGTAAAAAAACTTTTTAAGAAAGGACCAATTTCACTTGACATGTAATAGGGTATGCAGCTTGCCGTATATAGTTTGTTTATTCACATTAGACATATTCAGTAAGAATTTCATAGGTTTCAAAACATTTACTGCGTATTCAAAGACACGGTACATAACCATATCGGTACTCGCTTTGCGTACTAGAACGGTACCTTCTTTGCTCATGCACAGGTCATTCTCTGCTGAAAACAAATACTAGTAGTAGACATAAATGGAAACATATTGTATGTATGGAATGTATACTAGTATAATCAAATCAATGATTCATTTAAGCCCGCATAACATGCTTAGGCGGTAGGCGTGGCGAAACATCTCGATATTGTGTAACTTATTGTGGAGGTGTAGTAACTGAAAAATGGACACATTTCTGTGCAAGACACAGTTAAAACATTCTATCGTATCGTGGTATACTTCTTTTGACTTGACATACCATATTAAATCAGTAAAATAAACATTTACTGGTTATTAAGCTGTACCCTTTTCTACATATTTACATAATTTTATATGTGTTTTATTTATTTCGTCTAATATAACCATGGCCATTGTTAGAATTTCACTTGGCGGGGATTAATTTTATTTACACTTTCATGTCATTCAGGAACATATTGGGCCTAAGAGTGAGGTTTGGCGCACCTAAAACCGGTTTAAACTCCCCAGTGGTTCGTTCCAAGGTGGTACCCCTCTGTGTTCCTTCACGTGTTTTTCATGCCTGTGTTGTTATTTGTTTTTGATTGTATACATGTTTTGTGATGTCTGCCTTGTTGGACTGTCGTTTACGGTAGGTATTTTCTCACATCCCATCCCATTTTTAACCCCCTCCCGTTTTCACCCTTACAGCCCTTATCCCTTTAATTTCCATATGGGCCCGTTTTAGTTTATATTTTTATTTCACACATTACATGTCACTCTCCTTTCACCGCCCTTATGTCCACCCCAGGTTTTGGTTTGGTGCCTTCTGGGTGCCCTACTTTGGTGTGTCGGGGGCTGCGTCCTGTGAACGTTGCCTTTACCTTTTTGATCTTTATTCTTGTATATTTTGGTGTATGTCACCTTATTGTTCTGTTTCAGCAGACAATGACCTGTGCATGAGCAAAGAGTTTACCATTTAAGAAAATTGCACAGAGGGTATCGTTTTAGTAGGTTTCCCAAAGTTGGTAGCAATTAAGTAGTTTTTGCAAAGAGGGTACCGTTTAAAGAGGGTACAGTTTTAGAATATTTCGCAGAGGACATCGATTTCGTCAATTTTGCAGAGAGTAGCGTTTCATTTTTCTGTTCCATCGGGATCATTGATGCCAGCACTATTAAGTGTTGAGGATTGAGTACCGCTCTGAGAACTTAGTATCGCTCAAACCGTGCTAACGGGCGTGAGGGATGTTGCACTTATTCTTTATCCCTCATGTACAGACTCAAACAAACCGAGTCTCCAATTTTCATATAATTATATTGTGCTTAATTCTTCCGAGGGATCACTTTGTTTCCTGATGTACAGTGCAGAAGGGTATCAACTTTAATATTTCAAAGTTTTGAGCGATTGCCTTTTGTAACGTTTCATATTTTAAATACTAAGATCTCAAAGAAACGCAAATATATGCGGGGTTATATAATGAGAACACATACATTGTTGATAGAAGGTTGCATGAAAGTTACTTGTGGTCGATAAGAGCTTGCATAGGAATTCCCTGGACGCGTCAACGTCGCCTGGTCCGTTTTGAATGGACCATGGAGCATACACGGTGGACCATGCAACACTGGAGACACGTTCTCTTCACTAATGAGTCCCGGTTCTGCCTAAACTTCACAGACAAGTGTGCTAGAGTCTGGAGAAGACGAGGTGCACGGTTTCAGGCTGAAAATATTGATGAGCATGACCGCTACGGAGGTTAGTCAGTTATGTTGTAGGAAGGCATCAGCTGGGATGGACAAACCGACCTGATTGTGCTAAATAGAGGCATATTGACAGGCCAGCGACACAAAGACGACATCTTAGACCAAACAGGTAGGGTTGTATGCTAAAGGAGTCGGCGATCATTTATTCTAATGGACGATAATGCTCGCCCCTATAGGGCCAGGGTGGTCCAGGACTACCTTGAGAGGGAGTCTATTGAGCGCATGGACTGACCAGCTCGCTCACCTGACTTAAATCTAATAAAACATTGGTTAAATGAGAGGCAGGCTAGAATTTCAACTTGTCAGATGCAACCAGAACCATCCAGAAGCTTGGGGCCATGTTGGTCCATGAATGGGCAGTCATACCCGTTAGAATGATAAATAAACTAATAGGTAGTATGAGAAGGCGCTGCAAAGCTGTCATTGATAGACACTGGTCACAAGCACACGCACACACGCACGCACGCACGCACATACATACAAACATACATACATACATACATACATACATACATACATGCATGCATGCATGCATGCATGCATGCATGCATGCATGCATACATACATACATACATACATACATACATACATACATACATACATTGCACTTATTCACGATCTTTCATAGACAGATTCAATCAAATCGTGTCTGCAATTTTCATGTTGTTTTGTTGTGATAAATGCTTCCGAGGAATCACTTTGTTTCCAGGTTTTTATAGGTACAGAGCAGATTTTTATCTGTACAGTGCAGAACGTGTCAACTTAAATATTTCAAACTTTTCAGCGATTGCCTTTTGTTACCTTTCATGTTTAAAATACTAAGATCTCAAAGATACGCAAATATATGCGGGGTTAAGTAATGACAACGCATACATTGATGATAGAAATTTACGGTTGCTCAAGAACAACGGGAGACGATGGTTATCTTAGAGGGCAAGTAAGTATAGGATATTATAATTTTTGTGCCTTAAAATATGATTGAACTTAGACAGTATTTTAGTTGAATAACATTTGATGAAAAAAGATCTAGATAGTGTTTACGATCATTTGCTTTATTTGCTGCTCAAATTTATCAAATTAAAAAAAAAAACATGTCCAATGGTAATCCGCTTGTGGTTGCAGCATTAGATTTTGGAACAACGTTTTCTAGCTGGGCATTTTCGTTTAAACATGAATATGAAATGGAACCGACAAAGGTGACTGCAAAAGTAGGGTACGGATTAGAATCAGCTGTGTCATTGAAAGGTAAGTTTGATCTTCTAGACATTAGTGAACATAACGTTGAAAACTTGTGTCTTCAATAACGTATAATGATTTGACATTGACTCTTTTGAGACGATTCGTTGTTTACGAAATGTTTCTATTCTATTGATAGAATCTTACAAATGCATCATTATGATATACTTATGAAATATTGCTTGAAAAAAAATTGATAAGTTCTAAATGATTAAGTATGAACACTAACATAATGAAATATAATATTGTGTTCTAGAACGTGTTATTACCTTCAAAAATATAATTAATATCCAGTCATGTATCTCACGCTTGTAAACAACACCTAAATAGGATTCTTCCAGTCTAAAACTTGAAGTGACCTTCAGCTTTTCTAAAGGTTAAAAATGTTACTTTTGAATAAATAGTTTTATATAATCGTCAAACCAAAAGAATTAAGGTGGAAAATGAAAATTGCCGACGATAAAATACACAATACAAAACGAAACCCCTTGATACGAGGGGTGTTCAATTATTAATGAAAATACCTTATTTTCTCTGGTCTTTATTAAGCAATTTTGATTATCTTTTTACAGTCCCTCAAAGTACTCTCCTCGTCTCTCTATACACAGTTGTATCCGTCTGCGTCATTTATCGAACGCTGTCCGGTACTCTTCTCAAGGTATACCCCGTTATTCTGCATTCACCGCTTTTGACAAGTCTTGGGCACGGGTATATTGTTTCCTGCTAAAAGTTCCTTTAGTTTAGAAAAAAACAGAAGTCACATGGGGCCAAGTCAGGACTGTAGGCAGGATGGGAAAGAGTAGAAATATGGTTCTGTGATAGGTACTGAGTGACGGCCCCTGTTTTATGGGCACTAGCATTGTCATGCAAAATCATGATTCTGGAGGTTCCTGTAATGGGGTGACTGTCATTTATTTTAGAAACCGCTTGCAGGAGCTCACTTTATCGGTAACATCTTCAAGTCATGGTTGATTTTTCTGTTAGCACATCTACAGCAACCGGCCCTTCATGGTAGAAAAAAAAAATGTATAAAGCCTCTTCCGACTCTAAAAAAACCAGGTTTACAGACCACGGGTCTGGGGTCATCTTTTGGCAGCCACATCAATTAGAGCGTTTGTTTGGGATCCCATAGAAGTATATCCAATTTTCGTCCCCAGTGACTATGTCTGATATCCTTTCAGGTCCATAAGGTTCGAACATGTCCAAAAGTTGCTTGGCACAACTAACCCTAATTTTCTTCTGTTCTGGTGTCAACACATTGGGTACTAACCTTGCAGAAATCTTTCTTCGTCCAAATTCTTCAGGAATCACTTTGTGGATTGTACCGATCAAAGCATCTAAGTCTGAACGTATTTCACGGAGAGAAACATTGGGATCATTGTCTACCTGATTTCTACATTCGCGACTTCGATTTTGGTGCTCCTGGACGTTGCTTATCAGTAAGCATCTTTCTATCATCTTTAAATTCCCTTACCCATCTGGCACATGTGTTATATGGTACAGCTAAGTCTGTATATACAGTAAATAAATCTCCATGAATTTGCTTCAATTCTTCTCCAAGTTGCAACCTTGTAAATATGCAAAATCTGTATTTTTCTAATCTATCGATCTCTATATCTAAATTAGTAAAGCGGAAGATTTGTTTCCCGATCTCCTATTTTAACAGATGAATGTCACTAACGCGTTAAAATAATTCTTGGGAGACAGCTTATCGGACTTAACAGTGATATGGTGAGCTTTTCCGAAATGAAATTAAAGAAATACTTAGTTTCGAACAACACAGAATTGTTTTTACAACATACAATAAAAGGTGAAGGTCGCTTAAATACTATCAACCTAATTTTTATTGTATTACATGCATTCCGTCATAAGCCTATTAACTTACATCATTTCGTTCAGCCCCAACTTCAATATTGATCAAGCCTGATGGTGAAACCTTTCATTTGTTTGGTTTTGACGCCGAGACAGAATATGCATTACTAGCTGAAGAAAATCAACATACGAAGTACTTCTTCTTTCAAAAATTTAAGATGCAGCTGTACGACAAGATGGTAAGACATATTTGGTATACTGACCTATTTGAAACTTTTGATTTATCAAGTGCCGTTTTCTTTCTTAAAATCTTAACTTTATATGTTTCTGTATACGTCAAATGAAAATTAGGTAGAAAATTTTTCAAAATACGCACATTAATGGATTCATTAGGGGAAGTATGATATACTGCTTTTGTTTTGTTTGTGATAATAAATAAGTATATTGCCTGTTTCAATCTTGAATTGATAATTGTTGTTTTTACTGGTTTTCTTATACAGTTTTTACTTTCCTTTTTATATATCAAGACAAATATTTCTTATGTCTTTTTTTCCATTATACATTACCGAGTCAACTGTTTTCTAACGATTTTGTTCAGTTTGGTAGGGGTATGATTTGTATACAACAATTATTTATACTTGTATTGGAAGTTTCAGACTCATTTTTTAAAATGAATCAAGTGATAGTAAATCTTTTATTTTGTTTTTTATTATACATAAATTTCCTTGAACGCATGCTATATTTTTGGAGCTTAATAGTATCTTAATTCAATTTATCTTTGAATAAAACACTTGTTGCAGCGTTAATTGTCCAGTTTGGAAATATTCCTTTTAAAGCATGTTCAGTCCTTTAACATTTAAGAGTTTGGGACAGAATTTCAAAATTAAAGACGTCACAGGAAAATCTTTGTCAGCAAACGTGGTTTTCAGTCTCTCGATTAAATACCTGAAAGATTACCTTTTTGAAACAATAAGTGCGAGTCTGTTGGACAAAGCCATACGAGAATCAGACATACATTGGGTAGTAACAGTGCCTGCAATCTTGAATGATGCCGCAAAACAGTTCATGCGATCAGCTGCTGAAAATGTATGTTGTTAAAGAATTTATTTTGTTTTGAAGTTAATGTTTGGAACTTTAAAAGCTTCAAAGCCATATTAATACGTAAGATATTATACTTATGTTTTTCCGTTTCTAATCGTAATAAATTTAAAAGATATTACTTCTAAAACATAATTTAAACATCTTATACCTTAAATGAAAAAAAAAACGAATTTGACAGGTACTCTCTGAAAAATTCATGGCCTAACACAACTAATATAAATTTTGCTTATTTACAGAAATACAATACTAGCCTCTTTAACTTTTTAATATATATATAAACTATTAATATCTAGAAGCTCTATATCTTCTTCAGTTTCATAACTTCCTTTTTTGTAAATTTGACCCTGGTCAATCGAAACAAAACGACTGAAACTATGCTTTCTTCTCAATGGACTAATGAAGAGCAATGTCAACATTCAACACCTATTTTGTTTGCGTGTCAATTTCCGAATCAGTGTTTATTACTATGGGCTTTGGGTACAGGTCTGTGACACGCTAGCATAATCAATGTTTTACATGCGTATTTCTATACCTATATTTACAAGTGTATTTCATAAATTTATATAATTATATGACATATACTTTAGTGATACTGTATCGATTGTAAATGCTTTGTCATACATATTTTAACAGAGTTAAGCCAATCCGCTTAGCTATTTAAGTAAGTGAAGTCTATGGATAACGAGGTTTTAGTGTTAAGCCCATGGCAAGGTACACGTTATTCGTTTCACTAAAGAACTGAACGACTGTGTATGAAATATTTCCTACAATACCTGCGATTCATATGAAGGTGTTGGCAGTTATTTGAGAAGAATAACTTAGTGGTTTACTTCCCGTCGGTAGATAAACTAAAATACTTTTGAAACCCGGTGTTAAACCAAATTGTGACAAACATAAGAAGCTAGCACGTAAATTACTGTTTACATTAGATCTATAAAAATTATATCCTTTCGCATCTTTTACTTTTTAAGTCATGAAGTAAAATTCATTTTTTTGTTGTCTTAAAAAGGCCGGAATAGATGGTCAAAATCTGAAAATTGCCCTGGAACCAGAAGTTGCTTCTCTGTATTGCCAGCACATTCCTGGTGTGGACTCTCTGGCAATGATGAAAGCTGGGAGTAAATACCTCATTCTTGATGCAGGAGGTTTGTTTTAAAAACCGAATTGTTTAATGCAAAATTACATACTAAATTAATATCATTTTAAAGAATCTTGTTAAAGATTGCACATACAACAAATAATTACAATATATATTTGTTCGTCATGACATTAAATGTTCCGATTCCTTTTTTAATTATAATTGTTTTGTTTTCATTCTTTTCATACATGTATTTTGAGAAGGCAATTTTTGCAATTTGATGTTGTTTGAGACTAGGAATTATATTTAAACGAATTTTTAAAATTATCCAGGATATTCGGGCTATTTAATGTTTTAATGTAATTTCATATATTTTACATACACATACATGTATAGGATAGGGCATTATATAAATATCACATAACACAGTTGTTTTTCTGTGACTGAAATTTTTCCACAGTCTAAACTTTAAAGTTAATTATAGGAACACTATTAAAGCATATTTATCAAAGTAATCCCGATAATGGAACGAAGAAATCTACATATGATCTTAAATTTTTATCCTATCAATTAAATGTATAAATTTTAAGAATAACTACTATAAATAAATCATCAAGATTAATGCCACTTCAACATTCCATTATTTATGTTCATTTATGTTTATTTTATGTTAACTTATCTTTTTTTTGTATTTTCCCATTGCCATGTATTTTTGCAACTAAAGTTTAGCCACTGCCTAAATAGTAGTAATAATTGACACACATACCTTATTGATGTTCGCTGTAGATATGTCTTACCACTTATAGCCATATCGGTAATGATATTATCTCTTGGCGAGCATCAATAGGATCTTCAATAATAATAGTCAGCAGTCTCTGAATGTTTATGTTGTCAAGTCTTCAAAAATTGTCAACGCTTATCTTATGCTCGTTTATTTTTGTGTGAGTTTAACTTCTTCTTTTTAACAACTGAAAAAGACTTCGTAACGGCAATTCCCTCCTCATCTTCAGAATGTCCCCCAGTCCATCCCACAATCATCGTCTTCCTTTCCTTTTTTCTGTATACAGTTTCTCTGAATCCTCATTGGCCGCTCCATGCATGTCGTCAACATGTTGTTGTGTCCACTAGGATCCCTGGTCATCGGTTCCGAATTCATTCAACTGACTATAGTCAATTCTTTTACCTCTCTTTGAAAGCGATTTCTGTTTTACCTTATCTGTCTTTATGGGCGCCATTTGACCTGAATTTATTGTAGTAAATTACGAAAAAAGTCCACAAAAAAGCTTAGTCAATAACGAAAACGAGCAAATCAAAAATCCTCTCAGTCTCATTCAACCTGATAAGTAAGCTATTTTTGGATCAAAATAAGCCAAATCAAACAAAATGTAACATGTTGAAGTTCTTATGCTAAGCATGTGCGTGTCACGTTACGTTCCTGTCAAAAAGTTATATTTTTCAAAGCGTAATATATTAAAGGTACGGAAGAGAAAAAGAAGAAAATTGTTCATGCTAATGACACTTATACTGACTGCGTCACTACTCATCCTTTTTTTTAAATTGTCGATCATAAATTACTATGGAATCACGTGATCATAAGCTAGCGTTTATATTCACTCCACTTAATCACACTTTCATGAGTTTGAAAAATTATTGCCCGCTTCAATGATATTCTGCCCATTAAATAAAACTTGTTGAAACTTGACAGTGACATATATGTGTGTTCTTTTTAAAGTTCTTCAATGTCGAATTGACCATAGATGCAACTTTTGAACTAACGTATATAAATGATGTTTTCTTATATGCATTTTACTCGATTTAATGTGACAATTACATTCACAAACGCTATAAGTAAGTATTAATATTTATGTTAGTATTCGCAAAGTCTGGTTGACAATTTTTCTGTTAAATGTAATTTATAGTCTTTACATTTATTGTCTTACACGCGGTACAGTAGATATAACAGTGCATGAAATATCCTCAGATGGTAGTCTCAGAGAAATCTACAAAGCCAGTGGCGGTGATTGGGGTGGAACTAAAGTTGACCAAGCCTTCGAAAATTTCTTGATCGAAATTACAGGTATTATAATTCAAAATGATGTATGATATTCACAAGTGAGATACAGTAAAACCCTCTATTAAAACCATCATCGGGTCTTAAATGGATTCCACAGAAGTTTTTTGACATGACTGACTTTTTCGAGATTAATGTTCCATTTGATGTAGGTCAAAACCAATAATGTGTGTTTAAAATTTCAGATAATTCGGTCATTCCAGAATAATTATTCTAATTGTGATAAATGACCGAAAATTGAAAAGCGATGAATTCTTTTTCACTCAAAATCGGGCTAAGAATAACACAAACATACTATTTTCAATTTATATCAGATAAGATTCTGTAATAAACGTTTCCATATCTTTCCGTTTCAAGTGCCCCTGCTGATCTATGTAAAAAACAAACTTCATATGTTTAGGTATTTGGTCCTCGTTTGACTTTTTTTAAACAAAGTCGTCTTTATTGCGGGATTGCCTCATTAGTGGATGTTACGAGTATAATCAAGGCTGTAATATTTTAACATTTTGGTTAAATTTTGGGGTAAATGTGATCTAAAAAATTTATTTTTTCACCCCCTTTTTAAATGCTAGAATTTTTTAAACCATTAAAAACATTTAAATCTGATATGCAGAACAAAAATTCTGGAGAAACTTAATTAAAAAGGTTTTTAAACATTCTTTTATTTTGGGGTTTAAATATAAAATTTGGAATTTTTACAAATTAAATTTAAATTCAAAAAAAACCCAAAATACACTTAAAACCCAAAAACAAAAATTAAATCTTCAAAAATTTGGGGGGTTTTTTTAAATTTAAACAAAAGGGTGTAAACCAAAGAAAACAGAAAACTGTTTTTTTGTTTAAAATTTCCAATTTTTTAAAAGCATCCAATAGCATTTTTTTTTGGCCCGAAAAAAAAGGGCTTTATTCCCAAATATCATTGTTTTGGGGGTTCAAAAAAAGGGGAATAAAATAAAGAAAAGGGTTTAAAAATGGTGGTTTTGATAGTAAATAAGGGTGTTGTTTTTAATTTTATATTTTCTATTGAAATAAAGGACAAAAACCCAAATTTTTTAAATTTATTTGAGAGGGTTCCTGGGGGCCAAAAGGCGGCAAATTTTTTGGGTTTTAAAAAACCCTTTTGCCCCTTTTCTTTCCACTTTTCATTTGGGGGAATTCCGCCGGGGAAATTTTACTTCTCTTATATGAGGAATCTATCTGGCTGGGTTTACAAAAAGGTTTCAGAAAATTCAAAACCTTATGCGAAAAAATTATGCAGGGATTTAAATTTGTCAGTGTCTCTAACGAAAACATCTTAGTATCGGTAAGGTCTTAATTCTTGGGAAGTCTTAAGTAGTGTTTCTACTGTATATACATTTACATTTGTATTTTTAAGGGTTTAATGTTACTTGAACTATCCCATGTTGAATTTGATAAATACGTTGATAATTTATTTTCTTTCCTATAATAATATGTATGGTATTATGTATCGCTCATTGTTTATCGACAGATATTTTAAACATTAATTTAACAATAACTGTTTATTTCTTTTGACTTCACAAATGCCGAGCTTTGTAGGATTATTTTTCTTTTCAATTAAAGGCAAAACAATTCATACAAAAGTAACATTAATATCAAGTAAATGAAAGAAAATATTTTCATATAATTCTTTAATTACCTTGCAATACTAAAAAGGTAATACACACACATAATGACATCATATCTTTAATATTTCAATAGGACCAATTGTTGTGAAGCAATTTAAAGAAGTTGCAATGGTTGACTATCTTGATCTTATGAAAAGTTTCGAATTAAAAAAGAGAACTAAACCTCCTACACAAGGCGTACAAAAAGTGATGGTAAAGATTCCGACCAAATTAAAAACACTTACTGAAGAAATTACTGGAAAAGTGCCTGAAGATACAATTGCCGAGACAAGGTACAAGGACGGCATAAAAATTGTTGTTGACAAGTTGAGATTCGATATTGATATAATGAATTCGTTTTTCAAAGAGTCCGTGGAAAACATCGTTGGACACCTTAAGGAACTTTTTATGAAACCAGATGTTGACGCATGCGATGTCATTCTAATGGTCGGTGGGTATTCCGAATCGTACCATTTGCAAGAAAAAATAAAATCTAATTTCCCATCGAAGAAGGTTGTTACTCCCAATGAGGCGGGTCTAGCTGTACTGAAGGGTGCTGTTATGTTTGGCCACAATCCGGCGCTTATTGCCGAGAGGAAGATGAAATTTACGTATGGAAACGCAAAATTCCCTGGATTGTTTCATGTCCATGTTCGAGAGGGAGACACAGTCAAGCTTGGTGAAGAGCAACCAGAACAAATTTTTCATCCAATTTTTCCATTCCTAACTGAAGTTACAGTGAACCTCTTTTGTACTAAAGATCGAAATCCTGTACTTGTAGCTGATGAAGGCTGTATCGAAATCGGAACAGTGACCGTACCAATGCCTGACACGACAGGTGGCTGCGATCGTAAAGTCGGTGTAAGTTTTCGTTTCGGGGGAACAGAAATTGAAGTTAAGGTAAGAAATAAAGACAAAGGAACAGAGCAAAAAGTCATGATATCTTACTGTTGACTGAAATTATGATGTTGAATAGCATTAACATTTTACATTGTTACCATTATAACAAATGTAGATTACGATTTTTATAGGACACTTTTCATACTGGATGGCCTAAATTTATCAATGCCTCTTACAAGATGCTAGTAAATATCAACCTTTATAAACGGGAGATTTGTAGAAACCGCGTAAATGAAATAAGTCATTTCCTTTTGTTTTAATTATTATCATTATTATGATTATGTTGATTGGTCATTTGTAATGTTCTGACAATAATATGTAAATTGCGAATAATCTTATTGAGATAAAGATTGATGTAACAATTTTCATGTTTTTGATAGAATGTTAGTGTAATGTAGTTGTTTTTTGTTCATTTTTATTTAGATATTTTTTTTGTCGCAAAAGATGTTTTATTTTAAAGCTTAAAGAGATAAAAATTGCCAACGGTGTATAGTGTGGTCACTCTACACAGTGTTTATTTGCCATAATCTATACTTGTCCAATAAAGCGTCTACGTGATTAAATGATTAACAAGTACTAGTTGCTTTGATATGTTATGTATGTTATAAAAGCTAGTTTTATTTTCAAGTTCTTACGTCGACGCTACATGTAAATTTTCATTTTAATTCCATCCTTTTATGTTCATTATTATTCACTTACCTTGATAATGTATACATGTTTATTATATACTTACAAATGGAATATTGAGAAATATTAATAAAACAAATGCGTATTTTCATTTGACGTATTTTCACTGGTATCAAATTGTGATGTCTAAAAAGAGAAAAGTGTATATTATAATCAGAAAAATCAAAGTTTTTTTATAAATACAGGGTTTATGTTCATCTTGTGGTATGAAAATTATCATATTTCACTCGTAGCTATCGCATGTTTATTTTCAAACCACTTGATGAAAATTAATCCTGCGTTTATAGAACAAAAATGATTATCCTTTTATATATACGTATTTTAACCACTGAAGTTTTAACATTTATGACATCGTTTTCATTTATTCATTCGGTAAAGATGTTTGAATATTGATGTCTTTCTTCTAACGTTTATCTAACTTATTGCATAAACACATTGAGTAGTGAATGACATTTTTATATGTACATAGGTTACTGGAAATATGCTATACCTGTAGATATTATTTTTTTTTAATAAAGCAACAATATTTCTGCAATATTTCCTGTTGACTTCTTTTTTTCTTTCTTTTTTTTTTTGTTTCGTTCTTTGTCATAGATTGTATATGGTAGATGCACCTATTATCCACGCCATATTTGTTTTTGAATAATAATATATATATTTAAATATTAAATATATATATATATAATAATATTCGAATTTGTCTCAATATAGATTTATTCATCTGTCATAAAAATTTTGAAAAATAATAGATCTATATTTATAATATATTTTTTTAAAAATATCGCTGCAATAAAAGAACAGATGTATTCTGATATCTGGACAATTCTTACAGAATCATTCAACTCAAAAATACTGACCAAACCAAAACAAATGTTCTGAACAACTGCGAATTACTCTTTTTCTCTAATAGGTAAAATACCAATCTTCAAGTATATGTTGTTTTGCTCAGAAAGGAATATTTGATTGAAATCAAAAACTGATCCTATGTTTTGACTTTAATTAAAAAATGGCCCTCTGTAAATTTCATAATGGCTCTACCTAAATTTCATAAAGGGACTCTTCTTAAATTGCAAAATGGCTCCGGAAATAACAACTTGAAGACTATCCTCAGTATTCTCTTTAATATCTTATGCGATTTTTTGTGTTTGACATTGTGTATGCATCTGTCACCGTATGATTCCGTATGCTTTTTATACTTTAGGATTTGTTTTATTTTTGTGAAATATGATTTTAGAGAATTAATAATATTCAGATAATCATTATTTTTAACCGTGTGTGTGTGTATCTGAAAATAAAAGGAAGATTCATTCCAAAACATTTTTGTTAGTTTTTCATAATATTTTTTTTTCTATAACATTCTCCACAGCTGTACTACTTTGTATGGACACTACGTTACAAACGGATTGTTTTGATCTTTTGTATGTGCATGTCGTGCCTGACAAGCGTTGCCATTTGATATAAAATTTTATGAAACTCATCGGGAGAAAATGATATTTAGCTGGTCCATTGCACAGATGAAAACTCATGTCAAGTAATACTTATCTGGAATATCTGCACAATCTTCATTCTTATTTAAAAACTATAAAATTATGTGAAAACGTGGAATATGAATGATGCACGAGAAATGCTCCAACTTTCCTTCTGAAATGTTTTCGTTTCGAAAGAATATGATTTTTGATTCCTTTAAGTATATCTTAAGTCTAATGACATAAAACCAGCTTTAGGACTAAATAATAACCGTTTCAATAAACATTTTATCTTCAGTCAAATACTATAGACAAATAAATAAATTCATTCTGCTGAGAAAAGTAAAGAAATACAAACACATACCCTTATTCTCAATGTGTAAATGCCCATCAGCATTGCTATTCAGAAATTGAAAAGAGTCATAACATAGGAGTCATAAGTTAGGACAATTTCTTTGAAACGCAAAAATTGTCTCAGTTTTGGTCTTAAGACTGATTTCAGACTTAGGACTTTCTATGAAACGCAGCCCTAGAGTACTTTAACATGGTATTAATGTAAAGAATAAAAACCCTTTTCCGGATAATATATTATGTCTTCGGGTGGCAGATGCAAGGCTTCATGCCAATAACTTGCTTTCCACATTTGGTATTTTGCAAAAGAGTGTTTTAATAAGTATAAAAGAAATAGGTTTCACATTCATAACAGTCGACTTCAATTAAGATGTTTGCAGACATTGCAAATTAAAGCCCATAGCCCTTTTTAAAGCCAATTATTGTTTCGTGTGAAACTGCTTAATGCAGTTTGAAGGATTAAGTTGTCCTACCTATCTGCATACGTTTTCATTGTTTGAGTAGTTCGGACTCAATGAAATTCCAAGAAACAACATTGTGTTGGACATTTCAATAGTCGCCAGCTGTCCCTTTTTTCCACAGAGTTCAAATGAAAGACGACACAGCGTTCTTTTGTTCAAGAAATAATAAGTATAATATTAAAGTTACATGATTATGGTTGCCAATAGTTATATCATTTGCGTCTGGAGAAAAATAAATATACCAATATACTCACTATTTCAATATTAAGACATGTGTCACTGACTAAATTACTCCTCTTGTCGAGGTGTTTCTAATGTGTTTAATGTATAGTATTTAAGAATATGTTCTTGTTAGGCGTGCATCCCATGCTAAAATATTGCAGTACAATGTATAATTAATGAGCTTCAATGGTCTTCATGTTTCATAAATATGATCGTAATTCATTTACGTGCCGACAGGTTATGTCAACGTTTTAACTTTTTAAATTGGCTTTGTATTTGACATGAAAGATCAGATCCATACAAAACATTAATTGTGTAACGTTCACCTTTATATTTCTTGCTAAAACTTCATTTGTGATCTACCCTTTGTTTTTATACCGTTGAAATCTGGCCATTGTAATAGCTTGGAATATTTTAACGGCCATTCCTGATAAGGCATTTATAGTTCGATTAAGAAACACGGTATGCTCTTATGTATAGTAATTGTCGTAAAAAGCACCATTTTCTGGAGAAAAAAATGAGATCTACCCATTGCCCCGATTTCGTTGCGAATTCGCTATTGCAATATCTTTTACTTTAACAGCAATATAAGGCACCACTTGGCGCTCGTCCAAGAAATCATGACCGTCAGATGCCCAGTGTGATTTGTTTTCTATAAATTAATGTTATTTTTGTAAAAGGCACCAGTTCCGAAAAAATACGTGATCTTTACATTTGCCCATTACGTTGCAGATTTACCATTGCAGTAACTTAAAATCTCTCTTTTACGACAATAAAAGGCAATCGACTCTCGTCCAAAAACGTGGCCGTCAGGGGCCAGTATGGCATTGGCTTAAACCGTTGCGGTGATGTGCCCAATTTCTATACTAATTCAAGTGTAACTGCCACGTGCCCGGATGATAGCCTGAACCCTTCTTCTCACAATGAGCGCCAATTTGGTACGTAGTTGGTAGTTGGATATTCGAATAACCAACTACCTACTAGCTGATATGTGGTAGTTGGTAATTCAATCCATTATCAATCCATTATAACCAGAATGAAATGTTAGACACATCTTACATTTTAAACACGGGTTAAAGGAGGGGACCTAGTTATTTATTCACGCGAATACCTAACTATCTACCAGAAGTTCATTAGTTAATAGTTAATAGTTATAGTTAATTTCTAAATCCATGGAAATAGATAATAACTTTGTTAATCTCAATAACCAGGAAAATCTTATTTTTGTTCTCTCCAACAAGGATATTTTAAGGGAAACTGCCAAAACCTGATGCGCTATTTTAAAAGAAAGAAATAATTTGTTATATAAATAACATTTATCTTATAGTATTTTTGTAATTTTAGTAAAACTTCTTCTTTTACTTACTTGGTGTTATTTTATGTGTAACTTACAATAACATTTTTATGTTCTAGTTAACTAACTTTGATGGCAGACTAAAGTACCTTTGTTAATTAATTTCAGTTTACTCTGATTCAAGTTAGACCCATATTTTAAATTATCTTTCAGATAACAGGATATTTTGTCATAGTATTGAGTTGTCAAGGTTTTATAAGACTTTTGTGTAGATTAACAGATTAGCAAGGGTATTTTAGATTTTAACTGTTGATACAAGTAGCACGAAAAGAGAGGTAACTCTTCAGTACATATTGGAAGTATTTGCAATATGGGCTGAGGAGTTGTCTCCCCTGTAACTATGTATTAGTCTCTTATAATTCTTATCAGAATGACCATACAGGCAATTTTATGATTTTATGTTTTACAATTTGTAATTGAAATATTGTAAATCTTATGTATGGATGAGACTTTAATAAAGATAAGATATGCAAAAATCGAATTACCAACTATACCTTCTGGAAATAACCAATAAGTTCCCTGGTCGATTTATTTTGAACGGAGTGTTTCCATATTATAGAAAACACATAATATTGTTATATTATAAACGTTAACATGGAATATCTGAATTACCAACTACCATTTGGTAGGTAGTTGGGGATTCACGCGAATAGCCAACTGAGTCCCCTGGTCGACGTAGAGTGCGGGGTGACACCATTTGGTAGAATTTATCTATCTTGTCATATATCTGTTACTTTTATTGTGAAAAAATAGATAAAATTTTAATTTTTTTTTTAATTTAAATTTGCTTGACGGGTGATTAACGCAGTAAGGCTTTTTGTTTGCATATGTTGACATTTATTTGGTAATTTATTGAA